CTTCCGAAAAAAAAAAAAAGATGAAAAGGCAAAAAATGTTTATGGCTAAAAATGATGTATGAGAGTGGGCAAAAGCTTGTTACTATCCATCTCTGAGATTAAATGGTGGAATCTGATGACTACAAGTATTTCCATTTGCACCTTGAGTGCATGCCCTTCATGAACACCATCACTCACAGATGTGATTTTTTTTATAGTGGCAAAATAAGAACTGTTGCTCAAGTCATGTAAGATCACGTGACTAAAGAAAGTGTCAGGTACAGTTACATAGTAGTTTTCTTGCACACTGCTGTTTAGAAATGTGTTGTGATCCAGATGTGTCATTGGTATATATTAACATACAAGCCCTGCAAGGATTCTGAAGTGGTTACTGATGCATTAAAAGCAGTGACGAGAAAAATGTTCTTTCTGTAAATCTTGTAAAAACAACAACTAAAAGTTGCCATGTTCACCCTTTGGCACACGATGTGTATGCACTTTCCTCTGATATTGTACCATTAATAAGATGAATAATTGGCCAAAAGAAAATTGTTGAAAATGTACATCCCTGAGTATGGCAAGCACAGTCTAAGAGTTGAAGAGTGTGTACTATATTCATAAATTCCTCCAAGAACTAAAAGGAGTTTCATGGATCTGGAACTATAGTTGATAAAAGCAAAATGTGCATTTTTACTATGGGAAACATGGGGCTTCCAGTATATTTATTATGTGATGGGGGTCTGTATGATGTGTTGTAATATCAGATATTTCATGGCAAGTCTAGCCCTTTAATATTATTTGCATATTATAATGCTCCCATAAATAGGGAGATCTCAAAAACCTAAAAATACACTCACTCAAAAACCTAAAAATACACTCAAAATAACACAATTTGAATAAAATAAAGTTGAAAAATAATCAGAATTTTGTCCTAATTTAATTTTTATATCTGTATACAGTATCAGTCAAAAGATGCACCATCACATCTGACAAAATGTTTTTCTCATGATCTATTTTGATTTCAAATTTGATGATTTAACAGTTAAAAACAATTTGTTTTGTAAACAAATATTATTTGTGCCTATGTATGAATTTCTTTACAAAAGCAATATTTAAATGTATTATTTCTATTTCATTTTAATTGATGAGGAATTATCATCCTTTCATTTGTGTTATTTCATAGTTTTGATGATCTCACTAGTATTCAAAATGTGAAAAACATTAATAATAAATGACTAGTTGTCTCCAGGGTTTTGACAGGCACCATATATGAATTTAATCACATTTTTTGGTTGTTTGTAAAGACTTGACTAAAACATTTTTTTTTTTTTACTAATAATAACATACTTCAGCTCTTTTATAAGACCTCTTCATTTGTGTCAGTCTGCTGTTAATGAGAGCAAAACTTTCCCTAACGTGCTGCTATTATAAAGTGGAGTTCACAAAACACCCATGACTTTTTGAGAAATGTGTCTGGACAGTTTGTCTTCATAAATCTAAGATTAAAAAAAATAATAATAATTTGGCACATGTTAGACAATCATTACAGAAAATATGAGAATGCCAGTACTTTCAATGCACTCTAGAGCTTATAATATTGTTGCCTGGGGAATAAAGACACATTGCAACCATAAAAAAATGAATTTAAGCAAAGAGTCTGATGTGGAGATCTTCCAAAAGGAACCATCAGAGCTCATGTGAATCCTCTGAGGAGAATGTGATAAGACTTTAGTACAGTTCTCATGCATGTGAGCTTGAAAAAGTCAATTACTTGACATGTCATTCCTGTGATATATATGCGTTAAACTGCCAAACAACTATTGCTACAATATCGGGAGATATTTTTCTTTTAAACTCTGCACAGACTAAGAAGTTAGCATAAAATAACTTTTCATGTTAGTGTCGTACATTGTTCCACAAATGACAGTTATTTTGCTCTTCAGCTATTTAGTACAGTATGTTATTATGTGTTAGACAGACAGAAGCAGCACCATATTGTAAGTCACTTTATTTGATGTCTACAAATACATTTGTTCTCTGTTTTTAAAGTGTTCATGCAGGAGTACATGTGATCTGAAAGATGCCCATTCGCCTGGGCTCCATTGTTAATAAACCAGTACTGCCTTTCTTGAATAAAACTGCATCACTTTACAAGAAACTAATTTCATTACTATAAGTAATTTCAGTCATTTCACCAGGTTTTGAGAGTTCAGCACAGAATACTGTATTTAAATATGATTACCTATAAAGAAACCTCTAATATTTCCAATATATGTCCATTTTTAAAACTCTTCCGAGAGATTCAGTGTTATTGTCTGCATATTGCAGTACTTCTATATATAATTGTACAGTATTGTGTTAACTAAACTATTTTGAATAGCAAAAGCATGCCAAATATAAAAGATCATTTTTCTCCTACGAGTTATTATAATTTACAAAGGCATTATAGTTTGTCCCCTGGTATTAAAAACAACAGAATTATGATTAAATACTAGATCATTTTAAAATAGTTTATATTAAAATAGGTGATTTATTAGGACTCATATCATGGCACAGCTCTAAAGAACGCCTTCAGTGAAGGCCTGATCTGTGTCTGATCTGAGAAAATACAAAACAGGGCAAGTCTGTATTCTGCAAGAAAAGAATATTGTGACAATGGGATGACAGGTTTGATATTTCATTATGTTACATATAATAAGCACCAAACACTTATATAATAAGCATAACTTTAAGATGATGATGGGTAAAAAATGTTATGTTTTTTTTTGTTGTTTTTTTAGCAGAGGACAATGACAGAAGCTGAATGGCTAAACGGCTATCAGTTCACACTTATTTCCAAAGATCTTGGCTTTAACATCTTTCTGCATGTGCAAATGTCTTTTGCTTACAGCGTGCATCATGCATTCAGTCCTAGAGAAGAGCACGGGCTTTAAAAGACAAACATCTTCTCTTGGGATATTAACGATAAATCATAGATCATGGCCTAAACATTCAAGGCACTTCAGGGTGACTGTGATAAACTGCGATACAGAAGTCAGTTTGCCTCCAGAGTCTGAAAGATGCCATGAAATTATAGCAGTTAATAATTCTCCATTTTTGTCATAGCATAAATGTATCCCTTCTAATAATTTTGAAATCGTTTGGTTGTAACTGGCAGGTTGTTTGTGTGATTGTTTTACTATGTAAAGTTTGTGGTACACAATGTTTTAGTAATAAAATGTGTAAATTAAATAATTCAGCATTTACTTTAGTCGTAGTCACGCTGTTTAATCATGAAAACAATTGGAATGTAATTGTGAACTGATATAAACAACTATTCAGAATCCACCACGAGGCTTTGGAAACAACAATAAATTAACTATGAATAATGATTTGAAAGTCAGGCAACAAATTTGAATGAAAAATGTTACCTGATCTCTTTCCAATTTCATGTGATAGTGAAAAATTATTTAATGAAAGAAAAGCTGATATACATGAAGCCTTCCTCCTTGCAATATTCAAATATATTGAGGGTCATTAAAATTCAGGTGACCCTACATAACCCTTCAAATCAATGGCATTGATGTCTTATGAATATAAAGAGCATATTTCATGTGCTTACAATGAAGAATTGTGAAAGGTGTAGCACACTAGTAATGCCGTGACTACTGAGTGCTGCTGTTAACACTTCTTTTCTGTAATTACAACAATCCGTATATATCACATAACGCAAACACATGCTATAAGAGATACCGGAATAAATGAGTGCTTTCTTTAAGCAGAATATGTGTCTTTGCATGGGCACACACTGTCAATCTTTTGTTTAAACAGGAAGAAAAGCAACATAACTAAAGGATGAGAAGTTTAATCAATGAGGTTGAGCTAAAATTCAGTCCTGGCAGTTCACCTGTGGCTCTAAACCAAGTCAAAACAATCGAAATGTGTGCAAGCTACGTTGTTTTTCAAGGCTCGGTCTTCTATATTAAGCATACGGAGAGAACAGAACCAAGAGGTAGATATTCTTGTTCGTGAAAAGCGTGTTTAAAGTGCCCAAAGTAGCCCTTCAACCTTTGCAAAAAAAGACTGAAGCACCCTTAAAAACAAGAATAGACACTCGCTTCATCCACAAATAACTCAATTACTTCCCTCCTGCCCAATGCAGCTCCAGAGGTTGGCGTTTTCCATCACTTGAACAAATAAACTTCACCTTACATTCAATATGCACTTTACATCAATATTGAACTGTCAACCCACAGTAGACACAACACAGATTTCTTTCAATCTTAACTTAGTAGCTTTTTCATCAAGAAGGATTTTATATATGACATATTATATGACCAAAGAGACTAAGGAATATCAGAAAAAGGGCAAATGTAAACCAGTGTTCCACCCAATTTCAGGAAATCATTCCTCAGTCACTAATTATTCCAATATGACAATTAAGATATTTGCATAGGCAATATGGGATTAGCCCTTAAACAGTACGTTTCCTGAATTCTTCATGAGTATATATCATAATTATGCTGAAAACAAAAGAAAATGCTACTCTTCTTTGTAAACCCATCTCATTTACAGTATTAGGCTTCAAGTAGATCAAAATAAACATGTAACATTAACTAGATGAGAAAAAAATAACTAAGCATAACGAGAGGTAGTGGAAAACCAATGAAAACGAGATGTAGTCGTCTGTGTGGACAGCGCTTCTATAATCACATAGCACAGGCTCCACTTCATTTGCTTAGAAAAGGAGCCCTTTGGCAAGAAAGGTTATTTTTCCAAGTCATACCAAGCTGATAAAATCATTATCAACAGCTGTTAGCCATCACCGTGACAGCCGTCAAGTGAAAAACTCCGAAACTCTCTAAATCGGATAAAACATTAGCAGCAAAAATAAAGTTGAGGCATTGAAATGAAACAGATAACTACTCTCTAAAGGATGGTTCGCATGTTCTTGTATAATCTGCAATCCAATTAATAATAGGTGAAAATGCCAAATTTGAATAATACCTTAATCGGTGAAACTTTTTTACGAGTTTTTATTAAATGATATTATTATTATTATTACAGTATTATGCTACCAAATATAGTAGCATAATACTGCACGAATTTCCATTCTTTATTTGCCTCACATTTTTTGTCAATAATAAGAACTTCAGAGGTATGTTTCAAATTTGTCATCATTTAAATGAACATGATTACCTTCTATTATGATTTATTTTAAATCTATCCATATCGGCTTTAAATAATCATATATTCACTCTGTTCTGACTTCTATGACGTTGGACTTCCTGGATTACTGACATGTACGGATTGAAATAGTCATACAGTCACGTTAATTTTCATTCACACTTATCATAAAACTTACAGTAAATGTGTGTCAATTTCCCCCCTCAAAGATAGTTTGGTACAGTAAATGTCCATGTGTCATGCAGGGTCTTTTTCTTTCTTTCTTTTTTTTTTTTAGAGCAAGACCATTTTGATTTATTGCTCATTTCTTTAATGACATGATTTTTTTTCTTTTAAAACAAACAAGAAAATTCAATCATTTTGTTTTAGGAATGTTGGAAAGCCAAGCTTCCCATGATGGTTTGCTGCTTCAGTAAGTAAACTACTAGGTAACACCTATTCGGTTTGTAAAACAACATAAATAAAGGACCTACTCACATTGGCTGATGCTCAAACACTTGAATACTTCAAAGAAGGATATCTATGCACTCGGTAAAGTGACAAAGGTCTTCATTTTAATGTGGTAAACCTGCAGAGTGAATGGCACTTAACTCTCAGAGCACCAGTAAGAAAACCCAACAACAACACACTTGATGATGATTTACTTCACAAACGTTCATTCATTGGCACAAGAGTTCAGGGAAAGTGACACTTTGAGGTTGGGTATGGTGACCAAAAAACGTCGGTTTAAATGCAATTCACTCTTGAATTTCTCCGCTAAAAGGTGAGAGAGTGGTTTAACACACCAGTATTTTAAATATCGTGTTCTCATGCACTGGCTGCTGCGATTGCAGTAGCACATAAATGTCTAGAAAATTGAACAGCAACATTCAAGTTTGAATCCAACAACGCGTTCTTGAGGGACACATGTCTAAACCTCGAAAGGAAATCATCTTTTGTAAGTATCATCTTCAACGTGATGATACTTCATCACGTCATATCTGGGTTGAGTATTGCAATGTGTACATGACACAACAGAAGAAACGCATGCTGGAAAAAAGTATTATAAAAAAGACCGATTTGCTTTTGTTTTTTGGATAACCTGCGGTTTTCCGAGCTGTGAAAATGACCGCTCCTCGTTTCAAGTCGCAAAAACCAACATTTGGACTCGGAGGCAGAGAAAAGTTTCCCTGATGGATCCGACTCTGTCGCACCACCTCATCGAGCAGGTCTCAGCGATCACAGTTATTTTAAATAGACCTAGTGTAACTCTCAAAAACAAGGCATAGTGTTCACTACACTTTTGTTTAATAAAATACATTTCTTTAATGTGTAAGACAATTCGAAGCTCTTTTAAGAACCTCCAGAATGTTGGTGAGTGATTTTCAAGCAATTCTCGCTCAATCCGACGAAGCTTACAGCCCATGACATACAGTACCTGTGCTTCTCTCTGTTAGTAACGGACTGGGAGGGGCTAGGAGGACTCACACAATAAACTGTGTCGTCACCAGCATCAGCAGCTTTTGTGCCCTTACTCAAGTGTCGAGGCATTGTGATTTTTGCAGAGAGAAAGAAATGTTCATGATTCATTTAGCTGCCCAATCACAACACTAGCTAGCCCTTATGTTTCCCAGTTAAAGAACTGTCGACACGCAAAGAAAGAGTTTGGACGGCGGTTACGCTTCCCAGCTTCTCTTTTACAAAACAATTGGCACAGCTAATTTTCCCTTCGCTTATGAGAGCTTTACAATATTCTCTCCCCATGACAGCATTGAAAAAAAAAAAACATTGTAGACCGGGGCTTAAATGTCAAACTGGAGTAAATTCCATAACCTTGTATCATGCAAAGGTTTTCTAGCTTAACATCTACCGCTTATCCGTTGTTTTTTGATTTTCTTTAAAAAATAATAATAATAATAACATTATTCAGCTGTCCTCAGATATGCGAGGCATTAAAAGATGGAAAGGATCAGGTAGAAAGAACACAGAGAGAGAAAGAGAACAGGTGATGTAAACAGGAAGAGAGAGGAGATTTGAGGAGTCAAAAGAGACAAAACAGGTGAATGAAAAAGACAAGCAAGTTTAAAGTAGGAAGTATGGATCTGTCAGATTTCCTACATGTGTTTTTTTTCTGTGTCACAGTTGCCTGAGCAGCTCATATTGGCACTTAAACAGAACTGAACTTCAGGGTCACTAGTGGGTGCTCAGAATTGCTTAACTACTCACTCAAATAAGAAACATCACACCTTTTGAAAGTGGCACCTTGGGGCTTTTTTGTCACAAATGTTCTTGCTGAAACCTAGGTGTCTAAGCAGGCCCTCTTGCTGTTAAGGAGATCCCTGTAAACAGATGAGTTGAGAAACCGGGGGAAGGAGTCTCTGTGCATGAGGGTGTAGATCTGAAGCTGGGCCTCCTCATACATCGTACTGCTGGGTTCTGCCAGGCTTTGGTTGATGACTTCCCTCACCCGTGAATCCAAGCTGACCTGCCGGCCGACAACAAATGTAAAGATCTTTACGTGAAGATTATAAAACATTGTTCATGTTTATATTTTGTGTGAAATATTTCACTATATTGCATATATTTCATATTATAATTCAAAATATGTTTTTTTTTAATTTGGAGACTAGGTCCATTTTTCTTAAAACATGGCAAAAAAATCCAAACTGACCATTTTGAGAATTTATTGTGCATAAAATTTTGTTAAGAACTACTAATAACTTTAAAGCTTTGTGTGAAATATTGTATGCAAATTTATAATTTGTACATTTAGATTATAGGGTACTTTTTTTAAATGATAGAAAAACATGAAAAAAACCCAGAAAAAAACAGATGTGAAGTTTGAAGATACATCCTTTTCATCAGACTCAAGTTGTACATATAAAAACACCCATAAATAACAATCACAAATTGTGAGATGGCATAAAAAAACTGACCAGCTATTTAGAGTTTTCACACGCACAAAAAAACAGCTTGCAAAGATCTACAATAGCTTAAAATATTTTTATGTGGTTTTATGTGATTTTTTTTTATATGAATGAATAATCATTACCTTAAAGCTTTGTACAAAATATTTACAGCAAAAATAATTTGTAGGAAAAAAAATCAGCACACTATGGCTAAAAAAAAAACAACATTTAATGAGCTAAGCAAAACAGATGTGATGTTTCCAGTTACTGTTGTATATAGAAAAAAACACTCATATAATCCCATGAATATCAAAAATCTAATTTTTTTTGTCAGGTGGCAAAAAAACACCAACAATTCAGAATATGTTTGTGCACAAAAAATGCTAGAGAATTTATTTTGTTTTGTTATTAATGTAATATGAATATCTTATATTTTTATGTTGTCATATTTTGTTTACGGTCGTATTGCAGTCACAGACAGCATTACATATTCTAACCTCTTTTGGCGAAAGAATGGAGACGTAGTCTTCATAAATGATCCTGGCTTTTTCATCGATAGCTGATGGGTTGGTTTCTTTCTTTAGTTCCTCACAGGCGATCCAGAACATCAGGTTTTCTTCACTGTACTCAGACCGCAAGAACTCCCGGAAAACATCCCTCCCCTCTGGAGCGCGCATCACCATCTCAAAGCTCCGTGACCAGGCAATCATCTCATCCAGTGTGGGATGCCTTCAAATGGGAGACAATGAAAAAAAGCAGGAACTACCCATATAAAATAACTTTACTTCACCTGTCAGTAAATAAACTGTATGGAAATGTATTAAAAGGCACTTGATTGGAAATTAAATTGCCCCAAAAAGGACTTGGTAACAAACTTGTGTGAGATTTTTAGATGATTTCACTCATTTTAACAGGACGTTGAGGAGGTATGAACACAAGCACTATAAAAAAGCACCAAACATCTTGTCCCTGAACAATAATAGACGTTTCTAATAACTCACTGTTCCTCTGTTGCTTCTATGCTATCCATCTTTGTACATGTTTGCCTCTCTGAACGTTCCATTCTGTCTTCATTCCTAGGGTGAGAAGAGAAATGTTAGACACAGCAAAGCCTCTGTGGCATTTGAAACATGTTGAGTTGATCATCATGCAAGGTTATACACTTCTGGTAAAACTACAGACTGGAGACTAACAGCTGTTATTACAGTACATAGCCATTCGGGTGCTACCTATAAAAAAAGTTTTAAATTTTTCATTTTGAAATAAAAGATGGTGTATTATATTCTTTACCAGTGATTTTTTTACTTTTTAATGGCCCAAACTGTAAAAATTATTTTTCAAAGTTGTAAAAAAAAAAACATTTATAAGATTTATAAGAAAATACTATTTCAGTCTTTCTGCTTCGAAATTTCTCATTTAATCCAATGTGCTACTACTGTTTCTTTGTAATTATTTGTCAAATTTACCAGCGATTTTTGAGTGAACACTAAATTTTTCCCCTTGTACAAAATATAAAAAATACAAACCTAAGGCCATTTATATGGTAATTTACTGCATTATTTAAAAAGTAATAATAATAGTCACCAACAGTTTTTCTTACTGTTTTTTACTTCTTAAAGGGATAGTTCACCCAAAAATGAAAATTATGTCATTAATTAAGCTGGGCTCACTTTACAGGAGTTTTAAAATCCTAACCGATTATGAAATCTGGTTGCAGCACACACATAAGGAGAATCTTTGCAGATTTTCTTACCCTCAAATCTTAAACATGCACACTCTACAAGATTTGAAAATCGTGGTGCATCACACCCTACAAGATATTCTTAAGATTATTATGCTGGGGGGAGTGGTGCACGTGATTGATGTTTTAGCAACTAATGTTTACATAAGTTAGCTAGCCTGCTAGCAGCTTTCACTCACCTGGTACGTTCAAAACTGAGGCGATATCACCCCAGCGCTTCTCTTTCCCCTTACAGTTGTGAAACGTTTTCGACACATTATTCAGACAGTCGTGTTATTGCAGAATTTACACAAGCAGTTTCTCCATCTCCACTATCCAACGGACCTGTGCAGCAGCTTGTTTTGTGGTCGCGCATTGGCTATTGTGAAAGTATGATGTAATCATAGCCGTGATCATCCCGATTTAAAATCCTAAATATCAAACCCGATTTGTGTGTGAGCAGATCAGGAGGTGCAAGATTCAATCTGTGAAAGCCTCACTTCATTCAGCGCTTCTCTTTCTCCTTACGGTTGTGATACGTTTTCGACACATTATACAGACAGTCGTGTTACTGTAAAACGTCAAGAAGCAGTTTCCTCCATCTCCACTATCCAACGGGGCCGTAGCCTACAGCAGCTGTTTTGCGGTCGCACATTGGCTATTGTGAAAGTACTGACGTAATCATATAGCCGTCATCATCCCGATTTAAATCCTAAATATCAAACATGTTTGATATGATCGGGGCGGCCCCGATTTGTGTGCGAGCAGATCGGGAGGTGCAAGATTCGATCGGTGAACGCCTCACATTACCAGATAATCCGCGCCGAACATCGGGACCGATCGAGGGGCTCGACAAGATTTTTGCTCCGATTCTCGGGAGGGGGAAATCGGGGCTAAATCGGGCTAAAAATCCTATAGTGTGAGCCAGGCTTTATCTTCGGAACACAATTTAAGATATTTTTGATGAATTCCGAGAGCTTTCTGACCCTCCATAGACACCAATGCAACTGAAATGTTCCCAGGTTTAGAAACGTAGCAAGGACATCGGTAAATAGTCCATGTGACATCAGGGCTCCAACCAAGCTACAAGAATACTTTTCGTGCACAAAGAAAACAAAAATAACAACTTTATTCAACAATTCTTCTCATCCCGTCTGTTGCGGCGTGCCGCCATTGTGGAAAGAGTATCAAGACGCATGCGTTCCGTCATCTGCGTGTAAACAACTTGTGCGAGTTCTGCTGCTTACGTTGAACACACACGTGTCAGTATGCGCATGCGTCGTTTAGGAGAAGAATTGTTAGTCATTATTTCCGTGAACACACACGTGTCAGTATGCGCATGCGTCGTTTAGGAGAAGAATTGTTAGTCATTATTTCCGTTTTCTTTGCGCACAAAAAGTATTCTCGTAGCTTCGTAAAATTACCATACCTGCAAACTCACAAGAGGTCAAAAAGGTGACATAGTTCGTAATATGAGCCTTGTAGGGGGGTCTAGGGGTATCTCCCCCCCCCCCAGAAGAACATTTTTGAAGATTTAACATGTAAATGAACCGTTCACTCTCAGCATTGGTACACTCTGACAACAAAATAAAGAAAAAAGACAACATATGCTTCAAGTAAAAAAAGCACATTTATACCACTAACTTTTTGGACAGTGCAACTCTGTTGTCATCGGTGTTCATACTTCTCTTTGTGAGCAGTGGAGTAATTTGTTTTTGCAAATTTTAATGTTCACATTAGAGTGCGCATACTATCAACAAGCTCCTTCTTTTCACTGCAGAGAAGCTGCATCTGAAGTGGCAAAAGATGTATTTACACAGACTGTTTAATGAAGCTGAGGTGCCATAAATGCATTTACACCACAGAATTTCAAATGCATAAATAATTTTATAAGATTAATGTTTTAAATATTTTTGAACATACAAGTTAAAAATGTTGGGAAAAAATGAAATACTTTTAAATATGAAACCAAACCACCAGTAGATGACGGTAAATGACTGTTTTAATGAGCGAGTCATTAGTTATTAATTCAAACGGCTGATTCATTCAAAAACGAGGCAAGTGACTACAGTCTTTATGAATGGGTTACTGAATCATTGACTCACAATGAAGAACTTCCTTGCCGACGACATGGTTGCATGCGGATGTGAGCGTATGCCATCAAAACGGACTGAGTGTGAGATGAGGTGTGTTCGATTTGAAGCAGCAGCGAGCGCAGACCGATCGGACATCAAAGTACCGCGAGAGCGATTCGAAAGCATGCGAAAGTCTAACCATAATCTAAGTACTAAAATTCCTCCTTTAGTCCAAAAAGAGCATTTATTGAAACTAAGCTACAAATTACAGGTGAACATCCTGTGTTTCTCAGTTCAAGTCTCTGTAGAGCAAGTATAATTGGGTTTGTTAGCCATGGGGTTCGACGAGCTGACAAGACTCTAAATATATAACATGTACTACACAGCTGTTTTGCATGTGATGTGGGACAGAAATAGCCATTTACTGAGCAGATAATGGCAGTGTGTAGTGGGGGGATGGCTGTGGAAACCCGAGGTTACAGAGTAGGGTTTGTACTGCCTCCTCAATGTTTTCTTTATTTCATGCAATATTTGTATTCATTCATGTTATTTATAGTCCCCCTGCAAGCTGTGCTATGGCCTTTCCAATCTTTCTTTTTTCAATGGCCCAGCCTCAAACTCCAACTGCTTTTTCCCCCATCTTTTTACAAGCTAATTTAACTCTTTAAGGAACACTTTTTCTTGCTAATTTTATTTAAAGAGTTAGAACAGCCAGAATTTCATTCTAATGTAATGTGTGTGTTTGTAGACACAATTAAAAAACAAATTAAATGAAATATAAAATTAAAAATAAAATAATGGACCAACTGTGGATAAAGATAGGTTATTTTTCTTCCCATTAGTATTAGTGACACTGATATTTGTGTTGTACTCCTGCTTAAAAGTGCACTCAATAATCATCAAATAAATGTGCAATGTTAGCTTGCATACTAAGACAAACCCTCTTCCACATACTTTTCTTAATATTCCTGTGGGAGGATTTTAAAAGGCCATGCTAACATATAACAATGCAAAAATATGTTTTGCTTAAACTCATAAAATTCTATTAATTATAGCTTGGTAATTTACACAATGGCAATACATGTTAAAAATTAACAGGCTGTCCAGCAGGATATAAATAGAAAGCTAAAATCCCCATTGCTCAGTCAAGGTTTCAGTTTATATTATAGTGTCAACCTGAAGATATAAATAACAACCTTCCTGAAATTTTATATTATCATACACATTTCTGTAATTTCAGCAAACAGGATGGAATGTTTTAAACTGAGACTAACCAAGTAATACTATGAAACCACCACAGAATTCATAAAATCCAATGATAAAACTAGTTTTGTTAGTTAAAACTCATGCTACAAAAGACTAAAAGCATGGAAAGTAAAATGGCAACACCTGCTCAAACTAAAGTAGGCGTGAGCCCACAAAACTTTCGCATAAACACTACAGTTTAAAAGTTTGGGGTCAGTAAGATTTTTTTAAACCGAAATTATTACTTTTATTCAGCAAGGATGCATTCAAATGATCAAAAGTGACAGAAAGATATTTATAATGTTACAAAAGATTTTCGGTTTCAAATAAATATAAATGAATTCTGAAAACAAAAAAAGTATCACCGTTTCCACAAAAATATTAAGCAGCTGTTTTCAACATTAATAATAAGAAGAAATGTTTCTTGATGACCAAATCAGCATATTAATATGATTTCTGAAGGATCGTGCGACACTGAAGACTGGAGTAATGCCTGCTAAAAAATCAGCTTTGCATCGCAGAAAAGAAAAAAACAAACAAAAAAAAACAAACCTAAAACAGAAAACAGTTGTTTTAAATGGCAAAAATATTTCACAGTATTACTGTTGTTAATGTATTTTTGATCAAATGAATTCAAAAACATATTAAAAAATCTTACCAACCCCAAACTTTTGAACGGTAATGTACCTGAGGCAGGTAATGTAATGGTGATAAAATACTTGCTGCTCAATGTAAAACTCATTGTTAAGCAAATAGCTACCATGCAAGTACATCTTTACAGCAGACCATAATGAAGGATGGGGTGTACCAGAGGCATTTGCAGCATCCACACCAACACAGACAGCAGGTGTTGGGCCTCGGGTGACCAGGCACCTGCGGGGGTCCTTCAATGCGTCCCTGCTGCCTTTTCCTCATTTCAACTCCACTCACACTCTGAGGCTGTGGACAGACACATCTGATTAGAAACAAAGCAGTGGGGGCTTGGGAACTGTGTTAGTATCTTGTTAACTACAGATGTTTCTAAATCTAAAGTAAGACCAAAAGAGATGATTAATTATTTGCAGATTCCAGGGAGAGATTATGGTTAGCTTTTCCAATGGAAGCGATCATAAGGATGCTCAGTATCTGAGCTTGTTGGACCGTTTCCTACTCTACTGTCAGACGCTTATTCAGCTGAAATCTACAAGAATGCATGTGAAAGCGTGTCTGTAGAGACTGAGAGGCAGACAGACAGAAAGTAAAGAAATCCCCTCTTCAGACTACACATTCATTCCTCTGGCAAGATGCTAAATCAGTTTGAGCTGTAGGAGGGTGAGAGAGATGCTGGTGTGGCTGAAGCGTTCACTCCCCCAGCCCTGAACACACACAGGCAGTAGTAGTGTGGGATCTCACATGTTCTAACACATGAGCAAATGCAACAGTTTTCCTTTTTTGGAAGTAAATTGTTTATAAAAATGCAATGGCTGTTGCTTCCTGTTTCTTAAAATAAATGAAATAAAACCATATGAATCCTTCCTAAAAGGTTCTTCAAGAGAAAACTAATTAGATAAATAGATAAGGTACATTGTCAAGGAAACATTTTTGAGACTAAACGAGTCATCGATATTTAGTTCCGTTTAACTGTAAAAAGAAAAATTATACGTTTTCAATGTGCGAAAAGTGATTTTTGTCAACATTTGGGAGCTTTCTAGTATATGAACATAAACTGAAAGCCACCAAATTCTCATTTTAGATTTCATGATGGAGGCTTGGCGCCAAATACGCATAAATCTCCATGCAAATCAACATTTTTACCTGTACACAGGCAACCAGAGAGCAGACGTGAAATAAAATGGTTTTCAATAAATTCTTCCATGTTTGGTTCCCAATATCACTGGCTTGTTAAAAACAACATCAGAGCAAAGATTTTAACCACAAACATTTTAACTGCGTTGCATGTGTTTCCAAGAAGCACTCTATCAGGAGAGAAAATAAGCAAGTGTTGTTACTGTGAGCTCTGCTCCACTCTAACTGTGATCCATCACCAGACCATTAACATGTCTTTGAAACACATGGGTGATTATTCTGTTTGACAGTTTTATTAATAGTGACCATATGGTCTCGGTACTATAGAAGCACCTTACTTGCATACACATGAGCATAGTTATTCAAAAGATAATTTTGTCATGTGATTTTGATCACTGATATCTGATATAACTGATTAATATATGTACATATATACATGTATTTACATATTTATATATTCATTAAAACCATTAACAATTATTTGTGTTAATTAAAATATTATATATAATATTATATCTATTATAATTATATAATACATATAATGTAATTATTATAATGTATAAATATCTAAATATTTGATTAAGTGTTTTTTTTAATTCACCCAAAAATTAAAAAACCAAACAGTTGCTGGTAGCCAGACTTCCATTGTATGGAAAAAAAAATAGTATGGAAGTCAATGGCAACTGTTTGTTCTACTTCTTTTTTTTTTTTTTGTGTATTCAACAGAGAAAAAAAACTTAAGGTACTAAAACTAAAAAATGAAATAAAATTTAATTACAGCTTAATATAATAATAATAATAATCAAATATAAAAATAATAATAATAATGAATAATAAAAACATAAAAAATACTAAAACTTAGAATAAAAAAACTGAAAAGATAAAAATAAAAGATAATTTAAAGTATTAATAAACAGTATTTAGGCTACCAATTCTTCTGAAGCCATTTGATACATTTGTCTGAAGAACAGACTGAAAGTTAAAGTCAAAATGGTTTCAAAAGCTATAAAGGTAAATGTTGACAGATGTTTAATTTCATAGTTAACTATCCATTTAACCCCTGCAACACTTCAGGTGTATTGTGGCCTTTATGGGACTTGAATGGGACTTGCCTCATTACTCTATTCAATTGATCCCTTTAAGCCCAAGAAGTTGTTTGCATGAACTGCAAATAAATAATTTGGCACTGGACTTTGGGAAACCCTGGTAAACATGATGCCTCACACCAGGCCCTCAACAAAATTTGTTAATTTTAGCACAAAGCTTTCTGGAAACTGATATTTTGGCAGGGTTTGGCAGCACAAACACCATATCACATCACCTAGACATCTGATCCAAATATTTAGGGACAAACAGTCTGGGCACTAAACGGACAAGCTGAAGGTCTGGGCCAGTATCAAATTATCGTTTCCCAGTATGGTATTGGTAAATATCCCATAACCACATAACCACAGGGCATTTGGTTGGCTGACTTTTTGTCGCAATGTGTGGTGCATAATTTAAAGATTCACTGCTGATTGAAATGCATTGCTGTGATAAGGGACAAAAACCACACAACAGCCAATTTTTATGTAAGAAGACACAGCATTAAATATGCTACACAAAATTTGCTCTGTAAAATAAATATATAAAGCACACTGCATATGAAAGTAAACATTTTGTTTGTTATTTAGTATTAGTATTGTGCTTGTACTAGGGTAATAGTAGTGTACTGTTTTCTTAGTCTCATTACATACTATCAATATTACTGATATCACATACACCAAAATATGAATACTCGGAATATTTAGTTAAACAAAGACCTTGAAACAGAAACCTTACCTCTAAATTCATCCTTACACTTAAAAAAGTGTTGATAAACAGCCCTTCTACCTGGTGATGAAAGCTCAGTTTGTCTGGGATGTATTTGTGAACACTCTTTGAGAGTTTACCCTAATGGAACCACATAAACCAAATATGCAAAACATAACTACCATCAGTTATTCAGTGCCAGGCAATGGAAAACATGCATCCTGATGCAAAACACACTGAGGAGTCCCTTTGTTCACATCTAGAGTATTGACCAACAACTCTGCACAATATGTAAAACAAGAAGTTGTATAAAAACAATTATACAACCAGACTCAGTCTGATTTCACAGAAAGTCATATATCATTTTATATCATGTTAAGCTAAAAAAAATTCATGGCACTAAAAACTAGCGACAGACCAATATATGAGACAATATTTGGCTTTTTTGAGATTAATAGCCAATAACTATGTCCCTTTGCTGTCTTGTCACAGATAATTCACATGTTCTGTTTTCAGATATTATCAGTGAATTTCATGTAAATATTCTGTCAAAACTGTTCATTGTCATTATCATTTGTATGTGTCTCCATTGCTTTAAAGCAGGGGTGTCCAAACTCGGTCCTGGAGGGGATCAGCCCTCTAGCTGTTATACTCTTTATAAGCAGGAAGCGGAATCCTACCTTTCCTCTTCGAGATAAAAGTGAAGATCTTAGACTAGTGCGGAAATTCCCAAGATCAGATAACACGGACAAGGAGCAGGTTTTGTGTGAATGGGCCTAGAGCAGGGGTGCTCAAACATGGTCCTGGAGGGCCGGTGTCCTGCAGAGTTTAGCTCCAACTTGCCTCAACACACCTGCCTTCAAGTTTCTAGTATGACTAGTAAGAGCTTGATTAGCTGGTTCAGGTGTGTTTAATTGGGGTTGGAGCTAAACTCTTCAGGACACCGGCCCTCCAGGACCGAGTTTGGGCACCCCTGCTTTAAAGGGATAGTTCACCCCCCAAAAAAATTCTGTGATAATTTACTCATGTTATTTCAAACCTGTATGATTTTCTTTCTTCTGTGGAACATAAAAGAAGATATTATGAGAACTGTTTCAGTGGTTTTGTCCATACAATACAAGTCAATAGTCACCAAAAAGGTTTGGTTATAAACATTCTTCAAAATATATTCTATTGTGTTCAACAGTAGAATGTCAGTCGTACAGGTTTGCAACAACATGATGGTGAGTAAATGATGACAGGATTTTAATTTTGGGAGGAACTTTCCCTTTAATAATTACATTTTATCAGCTATAGTCAGTGATAAAGTATTGCCCTGGACAATGCACACAATTGACCAATCAGAATCAAGTATTCCAGATAGCCATGTAATAATTTATGTTAATAAAAGAGCTTTCCAGAGAAGAAAAGGCTGAAACAACTGGCAAAGATAATCTGTCTGGGACACAATAGTATAGTATTGTCACGCCCCTGGACTCTTTGTGTTGTGTTTTCCCTCCCCAGGTGTGCCGTGTTCCCTTTAATTAGTCATTCCTTGCACCTGTGTTTTCCCAATCACCCAGTGTTTAAAAGCCCCAGTGCTTTCAGTTAGTGTTTGTCGGTCCTCAAACATCATTCCTTGTGTTCCAGTGTCTCCTACGTTCCCCGTGTGATCATTAAAGACTGTGAATTGAAGTTATCTCCGTGTTTCCTCGTTCCTCACTCCTTGCCTCCCGAGAAGTGTGACAAGTGTAGTGTATATATGCCATGTCAGCATCTAAGGCTATTTTCATGGCAAAAACAATAAAAAAATTGAAGTATAACAAATGCAATAAAAACCAGCAAACAATCACAAGTTATATTACACAAGAATTTTTACATTAACATATAAAAATTCTAAACCTTTTTCTGCCAAAATATACTAAATAACTCTTTAAGTGAGTTCACTTCATAAGAGTTTTCTACATTAAAAGCTGGACAGTCCAATAAAATATGTTTGACAGAAAGGGGAATCTTGCAGAGTCGGTCTTGTATGACCTATGCGACATCTGGTAAATACCACTTGATCAAATCTAGTTTTAAAAGAGATTAAAAATCTGTTTTAAATTTCCGGATGTATTTCATGTAATGTATTATTTGTACATGTATCTGGGACATAATAATTCTTCAGCCTTTGGTGTGTGTTTCTGTTACAGATATTGAGATATCTACCCAATAGTTCAATTTTAAACACACACACACTACACATCTTCAAAGAACTCTTTTTCTGTTCCAGCAATGACTGCTAAATGGATCACGAATGCTTTTTAAAGGGGTCATATGACGTTGCTAAAAAGAACATTGTTGTGTATTTGGTGTAATGCAATCTGTTTATGCGGTTTAAGGTTCAAAAAACACATTATTTTCCATATAATGTACATTATTGTTTCTCCTCTATGCCCCGCCTTTCTGAAACGCATCGATTTTTACAAAGCTCATCGGTCTGAAAAGCGAGATGTGCTGATTGGCCAGCTATCCAGTGCATTGTCATTGGCCGAATGCCTCAGGCGTGTGACGGAAATGTTACGCCCCTTAACATACTGTGATGCTGTCTCCCAGCAGGTCGAGACTCAGTCCAGCTGCTCTGCTCGTGCACATCCCATCATCGGTTCTCTTTTAGCAGTTCAGTCAATGTACTGTTAGGAGTAACTGAATAACTCGGGGATATTGGTTTATTTCGCATCAGAGGGAGTGTCAGGCACGTTTATAAACCGAATAACTTAAGTAATTTGTGGATTAGTGCGTACTGGAGACGCGAACCGTTTCAAACGATTCAGTTCGATTTGGTGAACTGGTTCGACCGGTTCACTAAGAAGATCCGGTTAAATAGAACGATTCGTTCGCGATCCAGACATCACCAGACGAGACAAAACCAATAAAACCCATTACAAACGAGGCATTTGTTGCATCCAGTGGGGACATAATTAC